CCGCGTTACAGCCAAGCTTCTGAGCAGTTCTTGGCAGAACGGCGCAGAGGTCGTCAGGCTGCCTCGCCTCGGCAAGAACCTGCTCGGTCTACTACTGATGAAGGTAAGGTTTTTGTTGAGGAACCAGGATGCGCTGAAGCAAGCGTCGTTCGAGACATCTTTTGCAGCCAGTCTGTCCGTTGTTTCTCTGTTCATGCCTAAACTGAACAACTGCTTCGGACTGCTGTACGAAGACGGGTTCTCGCCGGTCGACTGTCACTTCTCACCACTCAGTCCTCACTACTTCGCGCCATTCAGCGTCGATAGCGTTTCATTTCCGACCGTCGAGCATTTCTTGTGGTATTCGCTGTTTACCGGTCACGTTCCTAAATACCAGGCTCATTATCGGTTCATAAAGTGCCTGTTGGAATGCCAGAATACGCATCTCCTACCGCAGCTGGTTTACGCGTACGTGTCAGACAAGTTTGATCGAGAGGTGACCAATGAGCTGATGATCTTCGCCGATCTCCAGCTTCAAAGTTTCTATGAAATCGGCACTAGGGCAAAGTTCATGCAGAACGACCACCTTCTTCCGGCCCTGTTCGAACGGTTCGACGTACCGTTCTTCGTTGGTGATCCGAAGAACAGCGAGACGGCGCGCTTCCGTTCGACGGTCGCACTCGAAGGCTGGATGAAGAAGTGGCAGTTTTCATTGAAGAACGTTCTCTACTGGTGGCTGCATCCGTTATTCAAGCCTAGCGGCTTTGTGACGAACGCCGCCGGCATGGCATTGATGGTGGTACGCAGCGAGCTGATCCAAAAGCACGGCGTAGTGTGGTCAGACGTTTCTTCAGACGACAAGTGCAACGCGTTTGAGGGTCTGTCGAATTTCACCGTTCCTCCTAATCGGTTATTTGTGTTCGACAGCAGCCACCCGTTCAGTCCAACATTCATCGCTCCGTTCCGTGTGTTCAACGAGGAGTTCAGATCGGTCGTGCATTTCTACTGGTCGAGAGGTCTGAAGGCGATCGGCGTTGATCAGGAGACGGCCGCTTACCTACTCAGCTTGCCTCCCGAACGGTGCAACTCTGAGTGCCTAAAAGTCGCTGCCACGAACAACATAGGGTTTCGGCATTGGCAGAACCGCGAGATGAAGAGCGTGATGCTGAAAGGACTGAAGCTGAAGTTCGACCGCGCCGAGACGCTGCGTAGGATGCTGCTGTCCACTGAGGGTATGCTTCTGGTGTACGGCGACGTTGACGCCGTCCTCGGCGTCGGTATGACCCCTCCTCAGTTAGACGTTTTCTGTAGACAAGTGGGTGTCGACGCCTGCCTCCTCAAAATGTGGCTATGCAACGGCGGCGATGGTTGCGCCGCGTGCGTCGGACAAAATTTCTGCGGCCTTTGCCTGATGGAACTGAGACAGCAGCTCTGTGAACAGCCGTCGTTCGACGTTCGATCAGTCACCTGCTCCGCTTTCATTTCGCCGAAAAACATCATCACTCTGGATGCCACCCCGAAGCAGGTTGTACCTTCTTTTTTTGCATTGCCACATACTTTGGAAAATTGCCTGGTTCTGATTGGAATTCTGCCTGTTATCTTTCGAAGGTTGATAAATCAGTTTTTCTTGACCAGATACCACGAGATTAAACTTACAGCGGTTAACTCGCTGTTTATGTTGCCATAAAACTACATGAGCAGCAAGGCCAACTTTGCTGATAATATAGAATCCGAGATAAAGTTCAACACCCCCTCCCATAAGCTGCATGAACGAAATTTGAAGCAGTTTGCATGCAGTTATGGAAAAGTGAGGAAAACTGGCACCTGAACGGTTACAGACTTCTATTAATTAGTTTTGACAAAACCTATTGCCAGATGATCGCTCTTCAGCATTCGATAAGTTCCTTCATGCGTGGGTTGTTACTCATGTAGCTGTAAACATGAAGCTCCAACAAAAGCCCTCCAACCGACTTTATGCAGAGGTAAGGAGTCCGTATTATGATTGCGTACGGCGATAGTGAATACTTACTCATGTACGTCACAGGATTTCGGCACAAAGTTTTTTTCTCTCACAGGTGTTGCTAAAACTTCTGCTGATTTGATTACCCCTCCCCCTCTGCCCTTCAGTTGCATCAGTACTTGATTTTTGAAAAGAAATTTTTGTCAGAATCCTGCGGAAACGCATTCGCGCAAACCCGAGATTCTCTGTTGAGGCAGAAAACGCAGTTGAAGCATAAGCTCACTTTCGCAAGGAACAGGGTTTGACCAGGATTTCGACTGAACATCTTCATCTTCCATCGCCGCTTCTCCTTTCGGGTCGCGGAGACAGACGCGTCAGACAGTGCTTCCAAC